GTAGAACCTTGCATTTATCCATGCTAATTTTTTTATCTTGTTGAATTTGAGTCCTTATTGCATTTTCCAGATTCTATCACAGTATTTATTAACCTGCCCCTACTCCCGAGCGTGAGGTCAGTTTTGGATTTGGTCATTTCGCCTTTTGAATCAAGCTGTTGGTTATAATGAAGACGCAGAGCCAAGAGCTGGAGCAGTCAGGACCTCATTCCAGGGAAGACCGTTTCCCGTGAGCTGCTAGCCGGGTTCACTTTCTCCCTTAGTCCACAGCACACTTTATCACACGTGTGATGGAAACCCATCTGCGTCCTGTCAACCACATCTGCTTGCTTTAGCAGTGTGGTCAATTGGGAACAAAAGAAAAAGACGTACTGTGACCCAGTTTATTAGAGTTCAAAGTGAGCCAGCGTCTTCTAGTGCCCACCAGTTGCTTTGTGTGTGTCTGTGTGTGTTTAGTAGACATTTCTACAAGTGTTACCAGTAATAGCAGACAGAGGTTGAACAAAAATTCTTTGACTTTTCTGTTACAATCCTTGTCTATTATTGTACATTTTGTGTAACTGTATGGTGTTAGAAGAAGTATACAGCCAGAATGCTCCTTAGAAACCAGGATGGTAAGACTTCATCTCTCATACTTAGAACAGATTGTCAGAAGGAACCAGTCCCTGAAGAAGGACATTGTGCTTGGGAAAGTGGAGGGTCAGGGAAAAAGAGGAAGGCCTCCCAAAGAGATGGCTTGGCACAGGGGCAGCAGCAGTGGGCTTAAGCATAACTACTGTGAGGCTGTTGCAGGGTCAAGCAGTGTTTCCTTCTGTTGTGTATAGGGTCACTGTGAGTCAGAACCAACTCAGTGGCACCTAACAACAACAACCACTACCTTATGCTAGAAGCCATTTAATATTCTGCTTTTCACAATGATCGTTGCATAAGCATGCTTCCTTTTGGCTACATAGTTGTTCATAATTTTTATCTTAAGGTCTGGATAATAATCCTATTTGTTTGTTGTGCTGTAATTTACTTGTCCATTATTCCAGAATTGGAAATTTACATTATTTCCACTTGGCTTACTGTTAGAGAAAACATTGCTGTGAACAGCTGTTTCCTTTCCTAAATTCTGAAAAGAAAAATACTTTTTATTTGTCAGACTTAAGCTTTAAAGATTATGGTATCTACAGATCAATCTTACTGCCTATTATGGAAGGATATAATGTGTATAGAAGACTCTGTAATGCCATAATAGAACAGATAAAGTTCAACGAGTGGTAAAGTGATTGTTTTCAGCTTAGGGCATCAGGGAAGACTTCATGGAGCAAGTCATTTTTGAATAGGCCATAAAGAATGCAAAGGATTTGAGTATAAAGTGTTTAAGATTGAGGAAGCTGAGCTTAGAGGGGTAAAACCTCAGATGAGTACGATGACTGGTTTACCTTGGCTAACACACAGGCTCTGTGGTAACAGTCATAGGAACTGAAGTAATTGGTCAGTACCAGGTCACACAGGGTCTTGACTATAGGCTAAAACATGTATAAACCATACCAGACTCGCTGACCTTGAGTTGATTGCAGCTCATTCATCATGACTCTCCAGGACAGAGTAGAAGTGTCCCATAGGATTTCCAAGACTGTAAATATCTATGGAAGCAGACTGCCTAATGGTTCTCCTGCGGAGCTGCTGGTGGGTTTGAACAGCTAACTTTTGAGTTAAAAGCTGAGCACTTAACCACTACGTTACCAGGTCTCCTTTGAGACGTTCACAGTGGAGTCACTAAAAGGTGATCCCCAATTGAAACTGACTAGATTCATCGTGATGCTGCTGATTTTTTCCTTGATTGATGCCTCTTCTGGTGCCCTGTCGACAGCAGGACACACAGCGATCTTTCATTAAGTGAATGGGGAGGAGGGGCATGATGGGAGATGCCCAGTGGAAGGCGTACTGAGTTTGTGCAGTCAGGGGCCTAGCTGATCACAAATCCTCATTGATGTGTTTGTATGATTTTCTCAGCGATGCCAGTTATGAGGGTCTCTGAATGCATCCAAACATTGGAAACACCTGTTATGAGAGCCAAGTGCATTTGGCAGGTTTTATTGGAACTGTTTTCCTGTGTTCAGTAATCCATCACTATGCCTTAGTTTTAAGATGTCATTTTTGTGGAATTACAATTGAATGGCTCAAAATTACCTGATGAATTGCATTTGGTAATTATTTCAACCATCAATTCGAGCCTACTGGCTTGACCCAGAGAGGAGGAGCTGCTGGTACCTGAGGCTACATTCTGGTGGCCGGGCCCCTGCCCTGCCCATTTATGGTCAATTTGCCCGTTTCCTCATTCTGTTTCTTCTGTTGGGCTGTATTCACTACCATAAGCTACCTTAAGCTTTTTCTTAGCATGCAGTGACATCAGAAATAAAAATTACTTACTCACATAATTGATAACAATAGGATATTTTTTCTCCCATGAATTTCAAGTAGCACAAAGCCTAAAGGAAATTTATTATCAATGAAAATATGAAAATAATCATTGTTCTGGTTTTTCAATTTTCAAACTATATGCTTAAAGCATTGTTTCCAGTTTGAACTACCATATTCCCAAAGGATGTAAATAAGAGTAGTTCAGATAGGAAAGTGGCGCATGGGTGGTCAGGAAGAAAAGGCTATGTTACAGAAAGATTGGAGGTTTGTAGCCTGAAAAAGAGAAGGCTAGATAGCTCTCTTCTAGTAGTTTAAAGGCTGATCTGTCAAAAAGGAATTACATTTATTTATTCCATATAATTAAGAATTTGGAGTCGTGATTTACAACTTCGGGGAATAGACTCGAGGCTTAGGAATTGTATGTCAGTTAAAGCTCTTCAAAGATGGAACATGCTTCCCTGGGAGAAAGTGAGTTTTTAGAAGCACTCAAACCTAGTTTAATGACTGCTCGGCACCAAATATGGGGTAGAACTTGTTGGTCCTTAAGTTCCCTTCTATACCATTGTTATGTGTTTCTGTGACTCCAAGACCTAATAGGAATTGACAAGTGGAGAGTAACTGATTGGAATTAGAAGGATGGAGTTCCCTTTTACAGAGACAATGATTTTCAGACTTGTTGAGTGTAAAAGGAAGTCGGGTACCACAGTGGCAATGCCCTGGCAGTCCTTATAAATAAACAGGTGATTGTTTGGGTAAGCCCAGCTTAGATACAGAGTAACAGTAACCCCAGACATAAAATTAGTAGTTAAAACCAAACAAATGATAAGTGACTAGGCTCTCTGAGGGGAGAATCTGTTCAGAGAAGTGTATTTCAAAGAGTCTCCTTAGGAAGAAAAAAGCAAGAGCTATTGGAAGTGCAGCCAGAGTGCTCCTTGGAGGCCAAGATGGCCAAAACTTTGTCTCTCATACTTCAGACATATTGTCAGGAGGGACTAGTTGCTTACATGTTTGGTAAGGTGGAGGGTAAGAGAAAAAGAGAAGGACCCCCAACGAGATGGATTGGCCAAGTAGCAGCATTGATGGACTCAAGCGGGGCAACAGTAGTGAGGTTGGCCCAGGATCGGGCAGTGTTTTCGTTCTGCTGTGTATAAGGTCCCTATGGGTTGGTACCGACTCGATGGCACCTAACAACCACAGCCGCAATTGGAGTAAACAGTAGATTGATGGTGGCCCAGCAGAAGTATCAGATTTGGTGAAGGACATGTTCATCCGTAGGTTCAAATACCACAGCGGAATCGAGGAGAAAGAAGATTGGGAAAGAGGCATGTAGGTTAGGCTTTTGAAAGTTGTTGGAGAAAGCTCATGGTGAGGGACTGTGAAGCCACCTACTCAGAAAACGGGAGGAAGAAAGGAAGGAAAAGCTGGAGGAGTAGAGAAGAGTAAGATGTTTTTATATGTCTTTTAATGGACTTGTCACAGCTTTGGGGCTTTAGTTTTGAAGGCCCTGTGACATAACAGTGCTTAACCATGTTTCCCTTAATCTGTCTGAACCACCACCACTAGGGGGACGTGTGAGTCACAGAGTGTAGGACGAAGCTTTGCCCTGTACCTCACTTCCTAGTTTAAGGCGGAAATAAGGTAGGGACCTACACACCAGCTCCCCACGTGGACACTTAGAAAAACATGTCCGGGACTCATCTCAGGGGTTAAATGAGACTTTCGCTCTTTTTAACTGTAATGTTGCTAATGTGTAAGGATAATATTTTAATGATAGGTAAAGAGAAGGCTTTGATGAGAGTATGTGCTAGCTACTGCAAGCCCGTGACAGCGGTCTGATTTTGAGTTGATCACGCTCTTCTGCTTCTGAGTCGGTAGTTTAGCACACAGAGTCACAAAACAGCACTCCCATCAGAGGCGTTCCCCTCCTGGGTGTAAGGCAGACTTATGCCTAAATTAAAAGAATTAAAAGCGTTAGCCAAGAGAACTTGCTAGAACTCTTCTGATATGGCAGTAGAAATTGTTACCAGGCATTAAAGACTCCAAAAAGTATCAACTTTCAGGGGAATAAAGCACTTTAATACCCATGCCACTTATGTAATCAGTTAAGAAAAATATGAGCAAGCGTTTATATATGTGTGGTTCTCATTTTTAGTATAGAATTGTCGCTATTATGACAGCTGCTTGCTTACTGGAGCCACATATCTTTTGTTTGCATCATCATATTAATAACGCCTTAAAGTTGTTTGTGTGTTAATACTATACACCACAGTCACACTCGTGTCATTGGATTGACAGGATGTCAGACCCCAGGTCAGTTCTCAGGGAAATTGTGTTGAAAGGGCCTTTTAGAAGTCCCCTATTTCTCTTGCTGTGTTACACAGATTGCCCTTGAATAACAGCTTTTGGGGTGATTTCACTTTTTATTATCAATTGTTCCTAGTTTTTCTATAATTATCATGTTTTCAAATAGACACAAAAGCACTTTTTTCCATACTTATGTGTACCTACGCGTTGTTGCTACAGGGTACCCAGTCTGTATGCGCCTGCGGCTGTCTGGCCAGTCACTGAATTTAACAGCTGTGTCTTCACAGGCCGAGTGTATGCTGTCCTGTCAAAGAGAGAGGGCCGAGTGCTGCAGGAGGAGATGAAAGAAGGGACGGACATGTTCATCATCAAGGCTGTGCTGCCTGTTGCCGAGAGCTTTGGCTTCGCTGATGAAATCAGGAAGCGGACAAGTGGCCTTGCCAGCCCGCAGCTGGTGTTCAGCCATTGGGAGGTAAAGCCCAAACCCCATTTCTTCCGTCTCAGCTATCGGTGTGCTTCCTCCAAGTGAGGCCACGAGTCCAAACAGCTCATCAGACCTTTGAGCTTCCTATGGCTCTTATTCAGACAAATGGATGTTGTTGTTGTTAAGTGCCGTCGAGTCTGTTCCGACCCATAGTGACCCTGTATAGGGTTTCCCAAGAACAGCTGGTGAGCTTGAACCACCGACCTTGAAATTCTAGCGACTTTGCAGTCTTGACGCATTAGCCCATAATGCCACACCAGGACTGCAGGAGAAAGCAGATGGGCTGTTTTCATACAGAAGACACGACCCTTAGACTAGATGTGGCAAACTTAGACTATGTCCACACAGTCATTCGCTTTGGATCTGGTGTCGAATCTCCTAACACACAGACATGTAATCCTATTTTTACCTCTAAACACACATTTTAGATTTTTCAGAAGAAACCAGACCCTTTGAAAATAGAACTTCAAGGAACTTTTCTCCTGAGAGAAATAATTGTTATGTATTATATATTCCTCAGAGTCCTGGCGTGCTACTGCAGAATACGCACCAGACCTCTAACTTCAAAGTCAGTGGTTCAGACCCACCCTCTGTTCCTTGTAAACACTATGCAGGGTCGCTGTGAGTCAAACTGACTCAGTGGCACCTCACAAGAACAACCTATTCCTCAGCGACTACTATGGAGATTGAAGGTTTCTCTGGTTTTCAAATGTTGTGGAATGAAATTGCACATTGATGCATCCAACCACTCCATTGTCAGTGTAGATATAGGCAGGTGAAAAAGCAAACCTTCCATAACGGTAATCAGAAGGGAGAACTAACAGGTCTGCAGTGCTGGGAAAAGAAGAAAAGGTTATGGACACATAGCTCTTTAGCTCAGGCAGAAAAGTAGGAAGAACAAGAAGGTCCAGGTAGGTTCGGCCACCCTTCCTGCCAGATTCTGAATGGAAAAGTCGGAGTTAGCCAACTGAAGCAGAGATGGACATTCCGGTCAGTAGGTGCCTTAGCAGAACAGGCCAGAGCTGGGAAACTGTAGTGTGTGTGAGGACCATTGGTTAGGTCTCAAACAGAGCCTGAGGTGACAAATAGAGTTCTTAAACTAGTGGATGTAAACAGAAAAAGCAGCTTTTGTGTCAGTATTGACAGTGAATGTAAATGATTTCATATCATTTACATTTATCATGTACTTTGGAGTCAGACAGCACTGATTTCAAATACTAATCCTGCCACTTAATTGAGTTTTAGCCTGGAGATAGGGGGGGATGTTAGTGTCAGGCTCTGGTAGGCCCCCAGTGGGGTGGAGACTGTTTTCGTGTTTGTCATCGTCTAAGTCTCTACCACAGTCATTTTGACTTGCTCTTGACCATGTGGCACGGCACAGGGCCTCATACAGATAATGCAAGGTCTTTTTCTTAAATTTTATTAAAACGGAACTCATTATTTCAAATCAGTACTAAGTGGCTCTTAATTTCTCTCACTCTGTTTAACCAGCTGGGTTCCTTTCTCTAGAGCACTTTTAAATGATAAAAGTGTACTGGAATAATGGATGGAGAGCTTTCTTTTTAAAATGAAATTTATGATCAAGTGAGTCAGCACAATAAAGGTCGACACTTCAAAAACTGAAGTCTGACTTTGGACAGGGCGATTTGGAGTTTAATTCCGTGGGTAATGGGAGTGAAGGTGCCAGTTCCCAGCACTCTGTTGTACCTGCTTCTCCATTAGAAAAGGAGAAAAGTCCCACCTCTTCTTCATTCACGGTAGAGGCAAAGTTCATGGTGTTCTGATTTCGCTTTTTTTTGCTGGGGGTGGAGAGGAGATCAGAACAGATTACATTTTAAACAGTGATTTGTTACGAAGTTTTTTCTGCACATTTTGTATCTTCTGAAAGCTAAATGGATGTTCTGACGGTTTTATCAGCTCCTCATACCTTAGTGTATCTCTTATATCATTGCTGCATTCCCTTATGTAGGAGATAACCCAAAAGCATATAAGTTATTTGTTAATCCTCAAGCTTAGGGATAGTAATTTCCCATCTATTCAAACCAGCTTTTTAGTTTTGATTTTTGACCCTCAGCTTTTATGGGAAAGCACAAATCAGTCTGAAATAAAGTGGGTGTTTAAAAAGCTAACCTCTGAAGAAGAAGAGCTGTAGGGTGGTGACTATACTGCTGGTGTGGGACTGAAAGGCATCATCGCAGAGCCCTCTCCCATAGGTTAGTAACTGGTGACCGCAGGCAGTTTCAAACTGCTGGCCTTGAGGTTAGCAGCTTGACTTGTAACCAAAACACTGCCACAGCTCCTTACCCACATCTGAGGTGGATTCAAAAGGTCTATGGAAAATGTCACTATCTTTTTATTCTGTTTTCCATTAAGTTTTTTTAAAGCCCTAGTATTTGCATTTGGAGTACTGTAGGATAAGCACTGGACTGCTAACCACACATGGTCAGCATTTCAAACCTATCAGCCGCACCTTGGAAATTCTATACAAGGTCACCATGAATCGAAATGGATTCAGTGGCCTTTAACAACAATAGCAAAATATTTGTATTTGCACATACGACGGAGCTCTGGTAGTGTAGTGGTTACAAGTCTGGCTGCTAACTTCAAGGCAGTTTGAAACTACCAGCTGTTCTGTGGGAGAAAGATGAGGCTTTCTGCTCCTGTAAAGATTTACAGCCTCGGAAGCCCTGTACAGGGTCACTATGAGTCAGAACCAATTCCCCAGCACATCACCACCACCACAGATACCTCAGGAAGCCTTGGAGGCACCGTGGGTTAAGCACTGGGCTGCTAACCAGAAGGTCAGTGGTTCAAACGCACCTCCACTCCTTGGGAGTACAATGAGACTGTCGGGTCATGTGGACATGGTCTTGTGGAGCAGTTCTCCTCTGTCCAGTCAACTGTCCGGTGGTGGGCTTAGGATACTGGTCATGGATAATTGTCTGCTGTCGCCTGTGTGCCCACCTGGACCTGCATGCCTAGACTCCCCCTGTGTGCCCACATGCTCATTTTCACTTTGGTTGTGCGTGCTTACTGCATCCACATTTGGTGCTAGTCAGGAAGGCTTGCTGCTGGAGTCCCAGTTCATAGGTGTACACACTTATTATAAACAGAGCATGCCTCTGCAGTCAGTGGGTGCCTGCAGACAAATCTCTCAGCAATACACGAGTCTTTGTCTCATTAGGGTGCCTCCAGAAAACAGATCCTATCCACACAGGGGCTTCTGAGGGGTCTGCTAGGCTAGTTCAGTTCAAAGCAGAGAGGTCAGCTCATACGGTTATGGTGACTGTTTGGGGGATCCCAAAGTGATAACCTTGATAGATTTTCCCCCCCCCACCACTTCAAAAGACACAAGACAATCCCAGGGGCTAATTATGAAGAAGCTTTAAGACAATGGAAAGCTGTACTGGTGAGAAAAAGGCTGCAGAAGTTGCTCCCAGGAATGCTTTTCTCTCGTGACAGTGCAGCTGCTCCTTGTACCAGGGCAGCCACGGCGTCTGCTGAGAAGTTCTGTCCTTGGGAAACCTTATCCTAGCCACTCTGCAGCCCGGTCTTGCCCCTTCACACTTGTTTTTGTCCCCAAATTTCAAAGAACATTTAAAAGGAACCAATTTGAGTTCCTGCAGGATGCCAGAACTGCCGTTTGGATGTAAATCAGAGAGTGTGGGGTTCTGGAAGGGGTACAGAGATGGAGACACGCCTTCCTAACTGTAGACTAGACGGACAATGTGTACAGAAATATTACTTCACAGTTTGATATTTTTGTTTAATAAAAGCATCAGTGATTTTATAGCAATAGTTTTTGACTTATTGTTACATGCTATCGGGTCAGTCCTGACTCATAGCGACCCTGTATAGGATTTCCAAGGAGCAGCTGATGGGCTTGAACTGCTGACCTTGCAGCTAGCAGACCAGTGCTTATTCTAGAGCGCCACCCTAGAACTCCACTTTTGACTTACCCTTGTATATACACTGTGGTCTCTAAAGAGGGACCCCGTTGTGTCTGTCCTTACGTGCTTAACTCACTTCACTGAGGGCCGGCCAGGCCTGCCCTTACCATCCGCCCTTGTTACAAGTTTCTGTGGACTCATCGCCGGTCTCTGCTTTGCATAGTTTCCCTTTATATGTGTGAGGGGACTGCCAAAAGTTCATGGAAACAGGCCATTGCCTTTCACTTGCATTTTCCCACAGACTTTCTTAGCCCCCTCATATGGACCACAACTTGGTTACCCATTCATTCTTTGATGGGCACTTGAATTATTTCTGTTTGTGGTTATGAATTAAGCAGCAGTGGACATAGGTGTGCCTATGTCTGTGTCATGATTTTTAGATCTCTAGGTGGCGCTGTAGGGAGCTCTGGTAGCGTAGTGGTTACGAATCGGGCTGCGAACCTTAAGATCAGTGGTTCGAAACTACCAGCCGCTCCGCGGGAGAAAGATGAGGCTTTTTACTCCCATAAAGATTTACACCCTGGGAAACCCTGTATAGGATCGCTATGGGTTGGAACCAACTCGATGGCACTTAACAACTTAACAACAAAGGTGGCGCTGTGGGTTAATGCCCCAGACTGCAAAGCCATTTGAACTGCAAGGTCAGCGGTTCGAGCTCACCAGCTGCTCCTTGAAACCCTATATAGGATCGCTATGGGTCGTAATCGACTCAACGGCACTTAACAACAACAACAACAAAAATATAGACTTGGAGTCCTGGTGTGGTACTATAGGATAGGCACTGGACCACAATATCGGTTTGAACCAAAAGGTTGGCAGCTCAAATCCATCAGCCATTCCTCAGATATGCTGTACAGGGTTGCTGTGAGTAAGAACAGACTCGTTGGCACTTAACAACAACAATAGGGTATATGCCTGGAGTCCTGGTGTGGTGCTGTAGGATTAGCACTCCAACCACAGGTTGATTTGAACCACAAGGTTGGCATTTCAAACCTATCGTCTGCTCCTTGAAACCCCTATACAGGGTCTCTGTGAGTC